CTAAACTCTTAAGTTTTCGTTAGTGAATCAATTAATATAAATTGGTTTAGTCATTAAATTAGTTATTAAAACATATAGATTCATTAGGAAGTTTAAATAAAACAAAAAAAAAAAAAGAAAAAAAAAATTTAAGCTCAATCAAATAGCATCAATTTACGAAATGTTACTTAGGACATGGCTAATAAAACATCGAATTGAAGAGTAGAAGATCCACCTCTTATGATGGAGGCCTTTCTGCCCTTTTCACTCATCTCCTTCATCTTCTTCATCGCATCACTTTCTCTCCTCATCACTCCCACTATTCCTCTCTTTATCTCTTCCGCAATCACAATGGGTGGTTCATTCTCCATCGTCGAATCCTTCACCTAATCAATCGTGTTCTCCACTGCGAATCGTAACTCCTTGACTAATTGGAACGGATTGAATTATTGTTCAGAGTAGATGACCACGTGGCAATCGGTACACCAACCACATACTCTCGAGTGTAGAATTCCCAAACCTCAGTGCGTTAGGAATCCTCCATTTGCGAACCGGTCTTTTAATTTCAATGTTTCGATCTTAATTTTTAAGTGTTTGTTTGGGTGAAGTGGTCGAAATTTTGAGTTCTATTACAATTGTGAACTCCATAAAAAAATGGTTTGATGGCCGCGCTTTATTTAAAATGATAAAATATTCATTCAGTCTGAAAATCAGTTGTTAACAACTAATTCATATTAATTTTTTAATCATTACATTTATAAAAAAAAAAAAAATCCTCCAATTGCAGGGTGGGCCCATATGCTCACTTGTGGGGTTCATCCCATCATTTTTCCAATTCCAGCCGTTCGATCGATCTAAGAATCCTTCAGCCAAAACGTCATCCAAAAATTTGAGTAATCAATTGGCAATGATATTGTGCCCTTCAATTGGGGGTTTCCGTAGAGACCACAGGAATCGGTATCCGCTCTCCGCCAATGCATAGGCGATTTCTTTCACCTGATGCCCACCGAAGCTTCCCACGCTCCCGGAGCAAAGAAACATAACTGAGGATGGAGGTTGATCATTAAGCCATTTCATGATTTTTTTTTTTTT